GCCTCCTGGTGTTATTACTGCAACAATATTATTTGCTATATTCCTCCATTTTAGGTGCCTTAAGTTGAAATCCCCCAGGAGCAAGATGTTGGGTGCAGGAGCTGGAAGGTTTTCCAGACAGTGGTCAATTTTTAACAGCGTTCCTGGAATTGCTGGGATGTTGCATCCGGAGGCTTGTAGACTATCACAATGACTAGGTTTTGGTTCTCGACCTTTACTGCTAAAACTTCCACTACATCATTTGAGGCATTTAGCAGTTCTGTGCAAACAAGTGACTCTGCAATGTACAGGCCAACCCCCCCCTTTTGCCTGTTCACTCTGTCACATCTGTATAGGTTGTAACCTGGGATCCATATTTCGTTGTCCAAGTGATCCTTTATGTGGGTCTCAGTGAAAGCCACGAACATTGCCTTTGCCTCTGCAAGCAGTCCACGGATGAAAGGTATTTTGTTGTTTGTTGCTGGCTTTAGACCCTGTATATTTGCAAAGAACAATGTTATCGGACTGGTGGTATTGTTGGTACTGGGGATATAGGATAAAAAAAAAAATTAGGGTCAGTACTTACCGAGATATGAGGGCACGAAGTTGGCACTTGGCAATCACTCGAGGCAACATGGAGTGCTGCTGCTTGCAGAAATTCTACATACTGTATTTACTGTTTTTTTCCATCTTTTTTTTTTTTTTTTACTATTCTTGGTTTTCATGATATGATACTTATGTTTTACAGTAAATCTTTTGATTTCAATGCCAACTGTTGCTTATACACCAATATTATATACAAAATTATCATCATACTGTCACAAACACAAATGTACACAATGATAGGTGATTTTGTACACCTGGCTGAATCACACACTATTATCTACAACTATATACTACAAGTATTTACATGTCCCACTTATGTTTCTAGAACTCCATGATTGTATGATACTCCATGAAGCATGGATTCATACAGTGCCACCCCACACTGGTGACGAATGTATCATGTGTCCTTCTGTTGCTGGGGTCATTTTGTGTTGGTCGCACACACAACACACTTTTTCTGGGAATGCTTCTTCTTTGGGTTAGGTGGTATTGGTACCAGGTAGTGACAGTTAGGGATGATTCAGTCTGGCACTTCCCCCAGTGACTGTGGTTGGGGACAGGTTGTGGTGTGACAGGTCGCTGTTGAGGGGTAGGTACAGGTGTGGTACCATACTTTTTTGCTATCTGTTTTACGACATTCAGGGGGAATTCTGCAAAACTTTGTCGTTTTCCAGTCTTTATTTCGTACATGTTGAATGCATTGAGCACTGCAATGCTTACAAAGTGGAAAAACAGTTTTATATACTACTTGCGACTCCTACGCACACAGTCAACAAACCCTATCTTCATGTCACACTTGTCAACTAGTCGCATATTGTTCGTATAGTCGACAACAGCAGCTGGCTTGACAATACGTTCACTGGTGTCCTGGTTCACTTTGTTTGTACCATCTCGTTTCTGTGGATGGTTGACAGCAATGTCACATCCCATTTGTCATGCCACTTCAGTGCCATGATGTCATTGGCATGAAATGCTTGCACTGCACCTTCAACACTGCCTCCACTGAACCTTGGCAAATGATTTCTATTCCTTCTCACTGTTCCACATATATCAGTATTGTTCACACGTAGGAAATCAGTGAGCATAGGGCTTGTATACCAGTTGTCTGTGTACAATGTATGGCCCTTGCCAGGGTATGGTTCCATCATTTTTCGAACATCACTAGAAATACCCAACATGCACCTGATATCATTGAGTGTTTTTTTCCCTGGTGTATACAATGACATCCAACACAAGACCATTCTCACAGTCACACACAAAAGGTTTTATACCAAAGCGATGACGTTTGCTCGGTATATATTGCTTGAATGACAGGTGTCCCTTGAAAAGAATCAAGGACTCGTCAACAACAATGTTCTTGAAGGGATAAAAGTATGCACTGAATTTCTGCTTCATATAGATAAACACTTCCTGGATTTTGTATAGGTCATTTCTGTTGGGCCTATTCCTGTCTGAGAGGTGCAACATTCGTAGCAACAGAATGAATCTGTTGCAGTAAAGGATGTCACAGAAGACAGGAGTACTGATAGTCTGTGGCCCAATAGTTACGTATATTGTTCTTATAGGTATGTGGCATAAGCATGACAGTGGCAAGGAATAAATACATTTCAGCCATTGTTATATCTTTCCATCTGCACAGCCATGACGATTCCCCAACCTCTGCTGTATTGCCCATGATATAGTGGTAATAACTGTTCATGTGGGTCACTATCAAGTTCATTATAGGCTCGTCAAAATATAACTGGAAAAAGTTTAACTCTGTAGACTCATTTGTTATGGGACATTCTGGCAGGATGCCACTTCCACTCGCATCAAAATCAAAAGGCTGTGGCATGAATATACTTTGTGTCCAGTTCCACCTTCAGTTACATGATGCAGGGTGGACCTCTGGCATGGGGCATGGGGGAGCAGGAGGGGGGACAGGAGTGGAGGCAGCACATGGTTGAGGGAGTGCCAGGAGGTCCTTTGTCTGTCCACCCATTGTGCCATGTGGTCCATGTACCATGCCACCCACCACTACTTCCTCCATCCCCGCATATCCACCTTCACGATCACTTTCACTATCAGTGGCCGGGGTTTTGGCTCGTGACCTGCCACGACCCTTGCCACCAACTGCAAATGGCACACTGCCTGAACGTAGGCGACGATGCCTAAAAGTACGCTTCATTGGTGAATAATGTTCACTGTCACTAGATGAATCCTCTAATGGCATATCAATCTCATCATCACTTACATCACTTTCACTATCACTAAAACACCGGGAAAATAATAGTTTCCTCTTGCGTAGTCGCCTATGGGTAACACTCGCCACTCCAGAGGCGCTTGGCCCAGGGTCTTGTGTGCCCACACTGGCCACCCCAGAAGTGCTTGGCCTAGGGTCTGGTGTGGCAACACTGGCCACCCCAGAAGTGCTTGGCCTAGGGTCTGGTGTGGCAACACTGGCCACCCCAGAGGTGATGGGCTGAGGGTCATCTGGGTTATTATCGATATTTTCACTAATTCCTTGATTAGTAGTAGCCACATCTGTGTCAAATCCACTAAATTGATTTTCTATATCACTTTCCTCAAATAATAGTGCTAATACAACGAGGCATGAGTGAATCATGAGGATGTGCCATGATGTTGACCCAAGATGGAGCTGAATGTAACTGGTGCTACCATGCAGTACCCAGGCATCCCTGATATTTTTATTTTTCATATGGTGCACACTGAGTGCACAGACCCATTCTCTCATGTCTAGGTGGCTCAGACCTATCGGGCAAATACTGAAGAAATGAAAAATAAAACGTAAATATACGTTTGGGGCAGTAGCGGTAAGAACGTATATATACGTTTGGACCATTTATGGGTTAAGCACGATCATAACACACTGGTTGATGAATAACATGCACAACAACTGGGTACTGTTATTGCCATAATGTTTAGTGCACAATAACCAGCAGCTGCAGCAGGTAGGGGAAGAGGAGAAGAGGAAGAGAACAAAGTGATGTTGTTTTGATGTAACAAGTCTATCAGCCTTGGTAGGAAATGGTCAAGTCCCTCAAGCCTAAAGTGTATACATGTGACCATGCATTATGTCCTGGAGCAGAAGTGAAGTGAAGCAGTTGGAGGTGATATTACAGGTGAACATGGACTATTAGTAGAAGTAGATCATGCTCAAGAGTTGCTTAACAAACAAGTTTAAGAAGACTCTGCCATGGTGTTGCAGTGTCAGACAAGGATCATATTATTGATGCTGCTTCTACTGGTGGTCCCCACTCACCTGTGATATCACCTCCAGCTGCTTAGCTTTGCTTTGCATGCTTGTACTTTAGGCTTCAGAGACAGACCACCGTCTACCAAGGCTTAAAGAGTGATCATGTAAAAACAACTACTGTCTCCAGTATTATGTTCAATGTATCTGACCAAAGAAACCTGGTGTGCAGGTGAAACACTTCAACAAGAAAGATACCCAAGTGTTGCACATGTGTTTTATTCATCAACTTGTCAGTATTGTATACCATCAATAATATGTTACAACACACTGGGTTTGGGTTTACGGTGTTAAATCATGGAATGGATATACAAGAGGGTAGACATACTCTCGCTCATCCATGATGCAATGGGTCTCCCATAATGATGGTCTCCTATCACAAAAGATACGCTTGTATCCGAGGTCTAAAATTATCTAAAAAAACAGATTATATAGGTTCTGCTGCATTATTTCAAGCCATGGATGCATAACTACAGTGAACCCTGCAACTGGAATTGCAAGTAAACACCAACTAACACAGAGTACACAACTCTCAACAATATGGAAAGTGATTAATCACCTGACCAACATGGGACGTCTTTCCACTGTTTTACTTTTTGATAATTAAAAAGAAGAAAATTAATTATGTAGAGATAAAGCACATCAAGCTGGTACATTACAAGGTAAATCACAAAAGTCTACTATAATACACTAATTACTATTAAAGATCAAGTAAAATGCATCTAGTTCAAAATGCACACTATAAAACAATAATGTTAATTTAATGAGCAGTTCCATCTCTTCAAGGCATATTTATAATAAAACCAAGCAACACACCTCCGAAATACACAAACAGGATTATATGTCTCTTTATTTCTTATAATTCAAATATCCTTCAAAGTAACATTAAACCAAGAGCACAATAATGCGGCATGTGGAAAACACCACAACAAATCAAATGGCCATTAGAAAATTTTTGTCTTATGCAATACTAGCAAAATATTGTCAGGTAAGGCATATGTAGGGGCAAGGGACATTCAGCTGAACAGCATTATAACTGGCAGTGTCAGAAATGGGTGGATGGGGAAGACATGATTAGTTACAAGGCCTGTTAGCACAAAGGCATCAGTGGCAACATGCATCGCGCACGCGCACACACACACACACACACCACATTACTTACGTAGTGAGGGGAATGTTGTCCCTCTCGGCATATGCGTCATACATGGACTCTTGGCTGGTGAGAGAGTTTTATTCCCTATTAACAAGAGCAATCATCTCATGCCACAAACTACAAAAAAATTTATTGACAGCCATAACCACTTTACAGGGGGAAAAAGTCACTGTTTTAAAAC